GTCATCATGCAACATCGTCACCGGTGTCACCGTCAAGGACGTCACAGTCGTCATCGTCAACATTGTCACCATCAACGTCATCGTCAACGATGTCACCATCAACATCATCGGCAACGTCACCACAGTCAACGTCATCGTCAACGTCGCTGGCAACGATATCATCAACGTCATTGTCAACGTCACCACAGTCAACGTCATTGTCAACGATGTCATCATCAACAACATCATCGTCAACGTCGTTGGCAACGATGTCACTGTCAACATCATCGTCAACGTCATCGTCAACAACGTCATCGTCAACATCATCGTCAATGTCATCAATCAACATCGTCAACAGTGTCACCATCAAGGACGTCACAGTCGTCATCGTCAACATTGTCACCGTCAACGTCATCATCAACGTCACCACAGTCAACGTCATCGTCAACGATGTCATTGTCAACAACATCATCATCAACGTCACCGGCAACGATGTCACCAGCAACGTCATCGTCGTCACCACAGTCAACGTCGTCAGCAACAATGTCAACGTCAACAACATCGTCAATGATGTCACCGTCATCGTCAACGTCATCGTCAACAATGTCATCATCAACGATGTCACCGTCAATGTCATCGTCAACATCATCGTCAATGTCATCAGTCAACATCGTCAACGGTGTCACTGTCAAGGACGTCACAGTCGTCATCATCAACATTGTCACCGTCAACGTCATCGTCAACGTCACCACAGTCAACGTCATCAGCAACGATGTCATCGTCAATAACATCATCATCAATGTCGCCGGCAACGATATCGTCAACATCATCGTCAACGATGTCACCGTCAACGTCATCGCCAACGTCACCACAGTCAACGTCATCGTCAACGATGTCACCGTCATCATCAACATCATCATCAACGTCACCACAGTCAACATTATCATCAACGTCGTCGGCAACAATGTCATTGTCAACGGTGTCATCGTCAACATCATCACAGGCAACGTCATCGTCAACGTCATCAGTGTCATCAGTCAACATCGTCAACGATGTCACCGTCAACGTCATCGTCGACGATGTCATTGTCAACAACATCACAGGCAACATCATCGTCAACAATGTCAACGTCATCGTCAATGTCACCAGTCAACATCGTTGGCAATGACGTCAACGTCATCAGCAACGATGTCATCGTCAACAACATCATCATCAACGTCGTCAGCAACGATATCGTCAACGTCATTGTCAACAATGTCACCATCAACGTCATCGTCAACGTCACCACAGTCAACGTCATCATCGTCGTCGTCAACGATGTCATCGTCAACGTCATCATCGTCGTCACAGTCAACATCACCATCAACGATGTCACCATCGTCATCAGTCGTCAGCGTCAGCGTCGTTACAGTCAATGTCATCGCCGTCATCACAGTTGTCATCGTCAACAATGTCACCGTCCATGTCATTGTCAACGTCACTGTCAACGCTGTCACACTCAACGTCACCATCAACGATGTCACCGTCACCGTCACCACAGTCATCATCAACGATGTCACAGTCAACGTCATTGTCAACGTCGTCACAGTTGTCATCGTCAATGTCACCGTCAACGTCGTCACAGTCGTCGTCAATGATGTCATCGTCAACGTCACCATCAACGTTGTCACCGTCAACGTCGTCACAGTCAATGTCGTCGTCAATGATGTCATCGTCATCACCATCAACGATGTCACAATCAACGTCATTGTCAGCGTTGTCACAGTCAATGTCGTCGTCAACGATGTCATTGTTGAT